TAATCTTAAAAATGAAGGAATAAGTAAGTATAAATTCTTCAAAAAATTACATAATAATTTAAATAAATAACACTATATGTGCTTTATATAATTCTTTTTATTCTTATAAACAATTACTTAATTTTTATTTAAATATAATCCTTAAAATTAACAAGAATTACGCACCACTTGACCTTATATTTAACGCAGTTTTATTTTAAATATGAAAGGAATTTAGGTAATATACAATGGACAAAAGGTCGATTAACTATTGTAAAGATTAAATTGGTATCTTATTTAAATTTATGACGTAGAATCTCTAAAAATTGCCCCCCAAATTGATTCAATATACAAATTATAACGCTTCGAAACACTCGCAAATTGTTGAATTCAATGCGGTTAACTGACTTTTTTCCAATCTATTTAATGAAAAAATTATTATTAGATATTTATTCAAATTTTGAAAATATTATTATTTTATTGTTAATTATTTTAAACTTTTAATAATGATTTATGCCTAAATTCGGGCTTAATTCAAGCTATACAAATACAGATATACGTACTGTACTTTATGATTTTTTACATTTAAAAATTATTAAATAACAGAAAAATTCTATAATTGCTTCCACTGAATATAGTGAAAATTGATGTTTCGCTTAGAGTTTATCATCGTATTTAGTTAGCCTATTACTGCTTTAGGTACATTTGTCGATGCCATTTACTTAGTAGTTTAGACCGAATTCTGTGGAAACCTTTGGGAAAAGTAATTGCCATCTAATTACAAATTGTCTAAGAGAAAAGCGCATACATTCCCATTCACTTAATTATTTTGGAGATTTGGTTTTAATATCCATACGATTTTTTTTTCCTCCCTCTTTCTTAATTTCTGATGTTTAAATATTCTTTTTCTCTCGTTTAATTTATGAAAAAATTTATCATTCTAATGAAAATGCTAGGAAATAATTACTAAAAATATTTTAACAAATATATCTTTTTAAAATATAGAAAGAAATAAATACAGTACATTTTTAATGATAACATCTGGCAAATTCCTATATAATAAGGTAAGTATATTTTAATGAAATTTTCGAAAAATTGTATTATTATTGTATGTTTATTTATTATGTAAAAAGGTATGAAAATATTTGGGTTTTCTTCTCTGATGTCAAATGAAAATAACCGTAGTTGATTCTCTATGAAGTTTCCTCAAGGTAAGATAACATCTACTTATCTATAGGAATTTGTGATTTATTGTATCGTATTGCTATGATAAATCACAAAATATAATTGGTATGTATTGAATTTTTGTTATTTATACTTCATATTCACGGCATGTAACAAATTTACATTATATTGTGTTTCTATTAAAATTAAATAAAAGATAAAATTCGAAATATATATATATAGAATGTGAATGGTATATTCACTCCAAAGAAATAGTAGGAAAAAAGTGCTTAATTACGATGGGAACCAAATTAAATGCCTCACTAAAAGATACGTTTTTATGTAAGGAATAAAGACGCGGGTTCGGTTCTCTCAGCTGCCCGCACGTTTCCTTTCTTTCTTTGAATTGTATATAATTAATACACTGGATATTGGATGCTATTTGTTTATAAAGATCAAGTTTCTCAATTATAACACGAATACCCGTACAAGGAGGCCTAAAAATCAGTTAACCGAGATATTATTTTAAGAGCCGATTTGTATAATTAAATCTCTGTTAATTGACTTTGTATATAAACGATTTGCTTTATTTAAAATTCACGTACATTAAAATCTTCTGAATTCAAAGAAAGTATAAACAGAGTTTTCTACAAAACATTATTTTTTACATAGACAATACCTAAGACGTAACAAATTAAGTAAGATCGTAAGAGAAAAATCCGCAGGAAATTAACTTGGAAATTAATAATTCGTTAAGAAAATTATCTTATTTTGCAACGCCTAAACACTGTTAAACTTCTTTTATATAAATATGTATATTATTAATAGATAATTATAAAATAATTAGAATGGCAAAATACTCGGCTGCAGCAAAGCTTGGTAGAAGGAACAGTTTGGAGCACGTGATGTCCATACTTTTTCACTCTTTTGAAAGATTCTACTTGACGCCTCTTTGTGTCAACGGTCTCATAACCTAATTAGATCTAATTGAGTCCCAAGTATCCAGTTACCAGGAGTACTGTATCTCCCCCGTACAAAGTTCCTAATTAAAGCGGAAAAAACCAGCTTCGACATCTAATGTTACTGTGCTTGCTTCTCGGACAAACTTTCGATAACAGATTATTCAACTGTCTAATGACTAACCCTGTCTATTAATTATTTCTTGGCCCTCCGTAAAGTCTTGTGACTCGTTAGAGAGTGATTAACAGTTTTTCAAGCTTCTCTATTCGCATGGATGCTCCTCTTCTGCAAACTTAGGAGTTATTTGAAGGAAGAAAGGGGGGAAAGAACTATCTCCGAAGTGATTTTATAACTTATATCTTAAGCTACGAATTAAAATAAGTAAATACTTTTATATAAAAGTATTTATTTTTCTGGATATATACTTTTTTCCTCTTCCGTCTTGCCAGTATCCGGACTCATCTACGACGTCTTTAGGACGTCCTTTAGAGAAAAATCGATGTAAAATTATATTATAATATGTAAGAATTTCATTCTAGACATTTTAAAATAGATTTTAAATCCAGAATTTTTCATCAAAACTTCAAAATTTCATACAGATAAACGGGGTTTTGGTCGCCGCTTCGCTTCAATGACACAATTCGCAATTTAATTAAATGTTTACACAAGTGATTATAATTAATTAATTAATTATTATTAAATTGGTAATAATTAATGTAGCGTTAGTAGTATTCTACTTTTAGAATTTTCTTTACAAAATTTTATTAAAATAATTTTTTAAAAACAATTTTTGTCTTTTAAATATATTCATNCTAAAATATGTTTTAAAAGCTTTAGAATATTAATAAATATTTAAATTAATAAATTTTAAGTATGGATAATCAATTGTTAAATGGATAAATTGTAATTAATTAGTTTAAACAATCATCATCATCATTCATGAATAGTTCAAAATTTGATTAAATTTATCATCAAATTTTAATGAACGTGTTATATAATAATTTACTATTTGTTATTAATGCATTAAAAAATTATTCCCAAATTCTAACAAACATATTTTAAAAAGTTTTCGCATCCTCTTTGTTACAGGATGATCCTTCTTATCATTAAAGTTGAATAAACGTGTAAAATATATAATTATAAATTATTTAACTGACTCCATATGAATATAATTAAATAAGTTTCAACATTCTTAAAATATTGTTCACTAAATATATAATTTAAGTCCCAAACTAACCTACTTATTAGTGTGGTAAGATAATAGCTATAGTATAACAACATTTCCAGTCGTTTGTGACCAATTAATAGGCCTTAAATTAAATATAATTAATTTATATATTATTCTAGTTCTACATATTAACGAATATAGTAAGCAGATATATTATAAATTAAGCTACATTCTGTTAAAGTGGCCCTCGTACGCTGTATGCTCCTTATAATGTACATAACAGAAGAATCGTCGATCATTTTACAGATATATCAGGCATATTAAGCCTTATACGACCCTATAATATCATTTAATAGGCCCTTCAGTTGTAAATCTAAGCATAATTAACTTCTATAGGGGTTTAAGATAGAAGTAATTGATAGTAAGCATCACACTCCCCGTCAACGTCATCTATATGTAGCTTGGTATAGGCCATGAATAAGTATGTAATATACTGAAATTTCAAGTAAAATTGCTAGTAAAAATGTAGAAATAATAGGCCTATAATATAATTTTAGGTATTTATTTACAAATTTTCGATAGAGATAGCGTATTTTTATGTTAGAAAATCAGCGTAATGTTAAAAATAAATAGTCTTGTTGTTGCTTTCTATTGTTTTTATAGACCCTAGGGGTTTGAACAAAGAACAGCAGCAGAAATAGAAAATGACAGAAAATATTTATTGAAACACACTTGAATCATTCAATAAATAGTCAACTCTTTCCGTATTTTAGTTTACAATTTCTTGTATAAAGGTACGAAATAAATAAATAAATAAAAATTAAAATAATTACTTTTGTTAAATTGTTGTAAAACTTGATTTTATGATATAATTGAAAAATTTAATCCTAAACGTAGAGAAATACTAGAATAAATATAAATCAAAGCGTGAATAACGTTGAAAACTTGAAATAGTTTAAATTAAACATTAAATTAGTGCTACTTCAAACAAGATTTAGAAATTAATTTCATCAAGAGAAGGAAGAGAAAAAATATTTAAAAAAAAGAAAGAAAAAAACAATTGGAAACACTGATAAAAATCCAATTTATACCGCATCGAAAATAAAAATTTTACGCTATCCACAAAGAGATAGGTTTTTATTAGGCACAGGGGAAAGATATTTTCTGATACAAACCGACCATAATAGATACCCTAGAGCTGGATAAAGTGTGTCAATATTTGACAACATGCCCTGCAAGATCACGTTAGTTTCGTGTGTGTAATCATTTCGGAATTCCCTCATTTTTAATTAATTCTTTAATTACGATAATGCTACACTAACTGCAGAAATAACAAATAACTTAGGTATTGCTACCTGTCTTTAAGGCAATATTTCAATGCTCAAGCGTTAAATAAATCATTAAAGTAATTTTCGAGATTTCTGAGTAATTAATCAATTGTAATTTATTATTTAATGTCCTTAACGTTGATTCTTAGTCAGGTGATTGGCTTGAATTCACTCACCAGTAGTTATACTACATCCCATGGAACAAGAATGATTGAAGGAAGCAATTGCTTTCGACGTAGGTATGATTTTATCTGACATTACAGGTGATGTAATTTGAAGAGAGTTCATTTATTATCTATTTACTGACAAGATAAGTTATCCAAGAGTTCTAAGAGGAGGAGAGAACTGTTGAAATCATCATCAACTGTCCTAATAATTTGTAAAAATGTTTGATTTGCTTAATTGTTAATTAATTCTTTCTCTCACCCTCTCTTCCTCTGTATATACACACCCATATATAGGTATAAACATGAAATTTATTTGCTTCTAATTACTAGTACAGTTATTCTTAAAAGTTTATAATGAATTCGGTCTTATATTATGTCTTTCTGATCGTGTGGTGGCTATAAATTATAATTAATTATCTCTCTTATTAAATTTTCTCCCTGTTTTAATTTATATATTCTTCCATTATGTATTATGTACTCTTCATGTGTTAATTAATAGGGAAAAAAGTTTTAAATACTAAAGAATCTTTTTGAAATTTTTATTTCTAAAAAAATATAATTTAATTGAGTTAATTAAGGCCTTAAATGTCTATATTTTAAGCTTATAATTTCATTAAAATCAGGCTTTTAAGCAAGATTAAAGGCCTTGTATTAATACTGTTATTATATATTTTGTAGGCTTATATAATAATTCAACGCATACAAATCACATCCTAAAAGAATTGTGATTAAACAAATAAAAATTTAATAATGTCTTCCTTTAATTTAGTTAATTATTTGTTATTTAATGCGCATTTCAAATTATTACGATTAATTTAATCAATTCATATAAAACAAATAATTATACAATATAAATGAATAAATTTAATTATAAAAGTAATTAAGAAATTTTATAAAATATAAATAATTAAATAATCATTTACCTATAATCAAGATATAATTTGAAATTTAATGAATTTTTTATCAAATTTAATAATAAAATCAACAAAATTTGATAACAATACTGTGATAACACTGTATATAATTATATTTTATACATAGTCCTCCATATACTAAAGTAGTCCTTGTACTTCCTACACAGTTTTCCATATTATACTTCTAGATAGTAGACTAGGTACTTATACAGTAGACCCCCCTATAACACTGTAGATAATTTCGTTTTATATGAATTCCACGTTGTACGAGCCACTTAGATTTTACAAATACGTGTGCCGGACTGTGAACGGCTCACGTATTTGTAAAATCTAAGTGACTCGTACAACATGGAATTCATATAACACGGAATTATCTACAGTGTTATAGGGGATCTACTGTATATGCTTTTATATATGTTTTTCTATATGGAAGAAGAGATCTTAGGAGTTAAATTAAATTAAATTAACTACTAAATTTCAAACTAATCAAAATTTCCATTAAATAAATATATTTAAATTTAGGTAGAAAGAGAGAATGTAGGGAGAGAGAGAGAGGGAGAGAGAGGAGAGAATTTGTTCAAAAGTGGGGGAAGGATAATATAACCGTGTTATATTTGACAGCAACAAAAGAGCAACAATTCATCATTTTTTTACAAGTAGAAGAAAACTGAGAATATAACCGAGTGTTGTTTCAGTGCGTGTGTAACTATATAGCACACAATAACATCAAAAATGTGACCCGTTCGTTCTATCTTTGACGAAATCACCTTAGAAATTTCTTCGATATATGCTTCTCATATAACGTAAAATAGTGACTTAAGTGGTTAGAACTATGAAGAGACTCGGTGACAACGTGTTATTTCGTTGGAAGGCATAATCAAAATTGCTCTCCATCTTCCCTCTCTCTCTTTCCCCTCTCGTTCTCTCTAACCTTTCCATGTGATTTATTAATAGTAAAACAACAAAAAAAATATGGTGTGTTTTATATAAACAGGAAGTTAAATAGAAACTTTTCTAACTGGAAAAATAATTGCTAATAAAAAAAATACATATATATAAGTGAGTATAAATCTATTTATTTATTTATTTTGTACGTATGTGTGTTTATATACAAACACACAACTCTTTTGTAACGTCTTATATGTAGCGTAGAAGTTGTGTAACTATGTTATATTTTTGTTTAAATCATTGGTGATTGCGTTATGATTAATTATACAATTTAAAGTCATTTTCTTAAAATGTTATCCGCTCTATTAAATTCTGTGAAGAGGGTGGGCCGACTGCGCCATCTGGCGTTAGAATTTGTAACTTTTTTAAACGAGTGGGAAGTGTTTCTATATATTTATTTTGTACATATTTATCATTATAAATGATGTTTTTGAGTTAAATTTATATGTTTATATTAATATAAATACAGAAATATATAGTATTTAAGCCAAAGATTTCTTAGAAACTGAAGAATTCCGATGATGTCAAGTTGAGGAATTTGCTTTTCTGTAAAAGATTGTCGCAGTTTTCAACCAGTAGATCGGAGTCTACTGTTTAAAAACTGTTCTATTAAATGGCTCAATTTTGTAAATTATAATTACACTAAATATTTTACGCAAATGTTTAAAACAATCGTCATTTTACTAACTTTAATCAATGTTTAAACGGAATTTAATCCTCTTTTTTTCACGAAAACTATCTTAAAATGTAATTACATTATTTATAATTTAGAAACCAACGTTTGATTTATTAAAAAATCTTTTCTATTATGATTATAAAACGAATAATCGAAGATATATCAGTCGATCGCGATCCACCGGTTGAAGAATTCGATTAGGTAACTCATTGTAAGTTAACGATTATATGAATTTATACACCCTTTTTCTTGTGCAGGAAAACTGTTTTGAAACTTCGTTACATAATTAATAATATATATAAAAGGGGGAAGTAAAAACCGGAAAATAATTTCGCAAATCCTTTCTAGTGTGGTTCTAAATAAATGCTGGGTATGGCCGACATCATCACAGGATATAACAAAGTAGGCTTAACCGACGTCAGAGATCAGGGGGATTGCCACCACAAATAAAGACAATGTCAAAATCGTCCGTTCCTCATTGCCTCGCTTTGCTATCTTCATTACACCAGTTGTTTGCTCACACGGGACGGAAATAACCACATTAATCTTGACTTAAGTCGCTGCACTTGGATAAATATTTGCTATAGTATATACTGCGACCTCCGCCGATTGAGAGCCAACTTATCGCAACTGACTCATTGACTCCTCTACTGCCAGCAAACTAAACTATGTCCTGACAAAAGAATAATAATTTCCGGAGAATATTGAATATTTTCAAAGCTTGATTTACGTACGGTTTAAGGATTACCTTATTCTTTAAAGGGGGAGGGGAAAAAAAAAGAAAAATCAGGAACAACAACGTTCGAAAACTTTAAGAAGAATTTGCTGCTTTCTACAAAAAGAAAACAGCATTTTTTCCCCTCTCCCTCTGTATTATCGCTCCCTATTCACCTGTTTATCTTATGTTTATTTTCCAGTCTCGATAGTAAATTGGTAATTTAAAATAAAGGGGAAGATATTTCGATGCATCCTGTATAAATTTAAGGATAAAATTAGAATTTTTTAATAATAAAAAGTTTGGTAAAAATGAGATAATAAACAGAAGAATAAAATTTCGATTACTTTTCAGGAAGGGAACAAAATTTTCATTTCCTTTTCCTAAATTTTCTTTCTTTCCTTTAAGGAAGAAAATTTTAGGTTTAAAGCTAAACATTTTTAACTCTTTAGGGAGATATTTTATTAAATTATTTTAATTTTTAAACAGATATTATTAGCCTGTTAGGTAGAGTATCATTTTCCAAGCGACTAAAATGATACCTATTTCTACCTTAGAGTATGTTAATGTCATAGATGCTTGTTGAATTATTGTTCTTTATAGTGTTATTTATTAGTACCATAGATAGATGTGGTAAACGGTGAGTGTTTATAGCATAGAAATCCGAATAAAACAATACTTGTTATTGGTGACGAAACACGAAACTCCTTTGCCATACAACAGATGGCATTACAGTATTGTGCGGTTTATTAGTAAAATAGAAGTAGAATATATATATATTTTTTTTAAATATATTCAAATTATTAATGAATATATGGAGATGAACTCTCCATTTTTATTAAGTTAAAACTATATTAAAAATAATTCTCAGGTTTAATAAATTTGCTTATATTCTTTACAAAATTATAATTATCCTTTTTTAAATACTTTTTTACTTTGTGAGTTCTAAGAAGACTTTTTTCATACCCATATTGGCCACCGTATTGTGGGCCCGGCCAATTAATTTTCATATAAAATAGTGGAAAATCCTCACCAATTTTCATAAACTAGTGAGGGAAGGAGCGATGTAGATATCCTCGCTTTACGACCGATGACTTGTCAAACTTCGCTTTTAAAAAATGTATAATGTATCATTACTGTGCAAAAATATTACGTTTTTAAAGTCATTTTTGTGCATTAAAACTGTGTAGAGAAACGTAATCCCAATTCATGATATTGAACTTGTGGAGACAGGAGGGATCGCTTTACGACGGAACCAATTACTTCTTAAAAGCACCATCTATTATATACCCTATTTATATATTCATACAGTTTATTGTAATAATTTACATGGATATATTAGGCTAGTATCGAATGTATAAAATAAGAGAAAAAAGAAAGAATAAAGTTTTGAAATTTTTTAAAAAATGTATGTCTCAATTTCTTTGTTTCGACATTTTACTCTTAAAGGGTATAATTTTTTTTTAATTTACATAGGAATACACTAAAGAAATTCTCAATATTTAATTAAAGTAATCTCTAATAATTCATGTATTTAATGACAACAAAGAAGGCTTTGATCACAAAGTAATTGTAATCCAATTTAAATTGCTAAATTTCTTTAGATAATGTTTTTTTTTTTAATTAAATTATTAAAATTCTGTCAGAATTTAAAATAATTTCTTAAAATTATTTAAAATTTTACCTCTAAAAAACACGTCTCTTATCGTCTAACACAGCTTTACTGGAGCATTTTTATCTCTTTGTTTCCAGAGTTCTCGTCTTCAGTGATCGAGCCACTGAACACTAATTCTCATCTGACCAACGGGTTGGATCATAGAGTTTATCAGGTTTTCTTCACGTGTCTAAGACTTAAACGTACCAGTTTC